AAAAAAAAAAAAAAAAAAAACACAAATGAAGAATGTGGAACGATCCCCCTGCTGAGCCTTAGTTTCCTCAACCACAAAATGAAAATAATACTCTAGTCCCTTGCTGGGTGAGGTGGCGCTGCCTGTATAACCTATCCTAGCACTCAGGAGGCTGAGGCAGGAGGGTTGTTGTGAGTTCAAGGCCAGCCTGGACTACATAGGGAGACCCTGTCTCAAAAACAGTAATACTCCTAGTCCAATATGCTGTTGTGAGGACTGGGACAATGCCTGAGTGCTTACTTCATATCACAGTGTTTGGTAGATCGTAGGCCAGTAAATAATAATCTCTTACTTGGTACTTGGCTTATTGCTTGTTGTTGGGCAGCCTGTCACTTAGCATCTGCCTCAGTCTCACTCGGAGGAGCAGGAGGTTGTCTCCCTCTGGGAAGCAGACAGATAAAGAAGTAATTCGATAAATGGGTTCTGGTCCCGTCTAAACAGAAGAAAAAAATATTTAGTTGCAAAACTCTAGGCTTCAAAGATAAACAGAAAGAGGTTGGCCGGTGGTGACAGTTACTCTTCAATTGTAGCCAGTGGTCATCAGTTCTTTCCTGCATCTGCAGAACTTGGGGAACTCGTACCACTTTGTGACGTTAAAGTTTAGACATACACTAAGTGTTCCTTTTTGACCCCTTATTCTTTCGTTTAGATACACTGCTTGGCTCTTTTGGAGCAGAGCAGAGAATAGGTTTTTTGGGGGAGTTGTTTTTTGTTTTGGGTTTTTTTTTGTTTTGTTTTGTTTTTTTGGTTTTTTTTTGGTACCAGGGATCGAACTCGGGCCCTTGGGCTTTTGGCACTGAGCCAAAGCCCTGGCCCTAGATTAACTAATGAGACCTATTCCGTGGCCTTTTGTAGATTGACATTGTAATGTGACCTCCGTTTTGATGTAGCTCCTAAGCATTTTCACCAGTCCCAAAAAAGTCCAAAAAGTCCAAAAGAATCCCTGTGCCCTCTTAGCAGGTGGTCCTCAATTGTCTCTGACCTTAGCTCCTGGCAGTCACCAGTTTGCTTTCTGCCCCCTGGATCTATTCACTGCAGGTGCAGTATTTCCTAGAAATCGAATCAGACACTCTGTGACCATTTATGTTGAATCTTTCCATTAGCCTGTTTCCGATTTCAGCCATGTGCAGTATCAGTATTTAACTCCTTTTGATGGTTGAGTAATATTCCATTGTATACATATACCATTATTTGTAAAAAGTATATATACTTTGTGCTTGCAAGGCAGGCAGTGGCACCACTGAGCTAAATCCCTGGCGCTTGGAGCTTTTTTGTTTGTTTGTCTGTTTCTTTTGCTTTTGTTTTCCTTCTCTTTTTTTCATTACCAGGACAGGCACAGCGCCACTGAGCTACATCACTGGCTGTGTTTTGCTTTGGTTCTTGTTTTGGCGACAGGATCGCACTGTAGCCCAGGATGGCCTCAAATTCACAGTGATTCTCCTGCCTCAGCCTCCCAAGTGCTGAGATATAGGCTTAAAGTAAATTTTTATTAATGACTTTTTAAAAAGACAAAGCCTCCGTATGTATTTTATAGTTACTAGTGCCTTTTTTTTATATACTGGAGATCGAACTTGGGTCCTTGTGCTTGCAAGGCAGGCGGTGGCATCACTGAGCTAAATCCCCAGCCCCTAGTGCCTTTTAGTTTAATAAAACATTAGGTTTCAGTGTGGTATTTTCATACTTACATATAGCGATTTGCTCATACCTGTTCTGCAGTTAATTCTTCCACAAGCTCCCCCTTGTCCCCTGAATTTGTCTGATGAATCTCCCTTTCCTTTTACTTTTGTTATATTCCATATATTAGGGAAAACGTGACACTTACCTTTTCTAAATCTGGTTTATTTCTCTTAATGCAATGGCCTCTGGTTCCATCCATTTTGCACAAATGAAATAATTTCATTCTTCTTTATCACTGAATGATACTGCATTATAGACCACATTTAAAAAATCTACTCATCCAAAGATGGACAACTAGGTTGGCTCCATATCTTGGCAACTGTGAACTGTCCCACACTATACATGGGCACATGTGTCCCCTGTAATATGCTGACTTTATAATTTCGTCAGGTGTGCCGGGCATGGTGGCACATACCTGTAATACTAACACTTGGGAGGCTGAGGCAGGAAGATTTCTGCAAGTTTGAGGCCAGCCTGGGCCACACAATGAGACCCTGTCTCAAAAAAAAAATCCTTCTGGTAAGTACCAAGGAGTGGGTCATATGGTAATTCTGTTTTTAGTTTTTTAAGGAAGCTTCATTCTGATTTTTTTTTTTTTTATCACTTGGGGACAGGAGCGGCTGGGTATCAAACTCAGGACCTTGTGCCTGCCAAGCAGGTGCGGTGCCACTGAGCTAAATCCTCAGCCCCTTATTCTGACTTCTGTAATGACTGTATGAATTTATATTCCCACCATACAAGGATTCCTTTTCCTCCACCCCTCACCAGCGTTTATTGTTTGCTGTACTTGATGACAACCATTCTGACTGGGGTGAGGTGGAGTCTCAATCCAGTTTTGCTTTGCGTTTCCCTAGTGGCTCAAGATATTGACAGCTTTTTGTATACTCACAGGCCATTAGTACTCCCTCTGTGGAGTAATGCCTATACACTCATTGGCCCATTTAGTGATTGAGCTATCTGGTTATTTGTCTGTTTGTTTTGGTGTTAAATGTCTTGGTTTTTATTTGTTTTGTTTTGTTTTGTAGTATTGGGGATTGAAGCCAGGGCCTTCCCACTGGGCAACATCCCCAGACCTTTAACATCATCATCACCTCTCTTTCTTTCTTTCTTTCTTTTTTAGGATTTTTTGAGACAATGTCTCACTATGTGGTTTAGGCACCTTGAGCTCAGGGAGATCCTCCTGCCTCAGCCTCACAAGTGCTGGAATAACAGGCATACACCACCATGCCCAGCCATTGTATTATTATTATTATTTTCTTTCTTTTGAGACAGGGTCTAAGTCCTTAAATTGCCCCATCTAGCCTTTCAGTCTTCCTGCCTCAGCCTCTCAGAGTGGGATTTCAGCCATGTGCCACCATGCCAGGCTGGGGTTAAGTTTTTTGGGTTCTTTATATATTCTAGATGTTAAACCTCTGTCAGAAGAGTAGGTAGCAGAAGGTTTTGCCCATATGGGCAACCATCTCTTCACTCTGTTGACTGTTTCCTTTGCTGGGCAGAAACTTTTTAATTGGGTGCAGTCTCCGTTGTTGAGTCTTACTATTATTTCCTGTGCTATTCAAGTCCTTCCTATTCCGGAAGTCTTTGCCTGTGCCTATGGCTTCAAGTGTTTCCGGTATGTTTTCTTCCATCCATTTCCAAGTTTCGGGTCTTTTTGGTCTATTCTGAAGTCCATTTCTTACCAGGTGGGAGAGAGGCACCCAGGTCCGTTCCCTGCAGGTGGGTCCCAGTCCTCCCAGTACCATTGTTGAAGTGGCTCTTTTCTCCAGTGTCCGTATTTGGCCACATGGTTCCGAATCAGATGGCCACAGTAGTGTGAGTTTCTGCATCCACTACTCTATGCCATGGGTCTATGCCTCTTATTTCTTTGCTCACACCATGCTGTTTTTTTTACTGTGGGTTTGTGGTATGATTGAAAATCAGGTATTGTGGTGCCTTCTGCCTTATTCTTCCTGCTCAGAATCACTTTGGCTGCTCTGGGACTTTTGTGTTTCTGTATAAATTTTATGTTGCTTTTCCTCATTTTTTTCTTTTTCTTTTTCTTTTTTTCTCTCTTTTAAGACGAGATCCGGAAAAACAACAACAACAACAACAACAACAACAACAACAAACCACAAAACAAGAGCGGGCGTGGTGGCACATGCCTGTCATCCCAGCATTCGGGAGGCTGAGGCAGGAGGATCACTGTGAGTTCGAGACCAGCCTGGGCTACATAGTGAGTTCCAGGTCAGTCTCAGCTACATAGTAAGACCCTGTCTCAAAAAACCAAAAAGAAAAAAAAAAAAAAAGACGAGATCTTCCTATAGCTATATAGTTCCGGCTGGGCTTGAGTTACACAGTGTATCAGGCTACACAGTGGATCACAAATTTGAGCAACTAAGTGAGAAGTAGTCTCAAAAATCTAAAGCAAAAGCAAAAGCACTTGGCCGGGGATTTCGCTCAGGGGTTTCTCCCCCTGCCTCACAAGCGCAAGAACCCGAGTTCATCCCTGGTTTAAAAAAAAAAAAAAGGCGGGGATGGTGGTTCACAGGATGAAGCCTTTCCCCAGGACCCAGGACCCATCCAGCACCTCTCTCCTCTTCCTGCAGTGCCTCCGCCTCTCCTTCTTAGCTCCTGGCGTCACCTCCTCCCACACCCCTCCTCGAACCCATTGGCATAAGAGCCCCCGTGGTGACGATGCAACCACTTCGCTTACCTGCCCGGCCGTGAACTTGTGTGACAACACTGAACCGGCCGCTGCAGCTGTTTCTCTGTCACAGCGACCCCTGGTGGAATAAATAAATCAGCAAATCCTCACCGTCTCTGTCGGTCTGTGGTCTCTCTCTTCCTCTCTCTTTCTGCCTCTGTTTCTTTGGGGATTTGTTGTTGTTGTTATTTTGTTTTGTTTTTAGGGGGACTGAGCCCAAGTTCTTCACACCAAACTACACCCCCAGTTCCTTGCTTATTTTTTGTTCTGAGGCAGAGCCTCACTGTGTAGCCCAGACTGGGCTTGAACTTGCAGTCCTCCTGCCTCAGCCTCCAGAAATGCTGGGATTATAGGCCTGCAACACCACGCCTGGCTGGAAACAAGAGCCTCTCTTAACTGCATCTCCTGCACACCCTGCCTGGACAAAAACGAGCTGAGTGGACGGCTGTGGGCTCGCGGTCAGACAGTGGAGAAATATTTGTGTGCATACTTGGTAGGGACTGGAAACACTGCAGATGACATCACAGAAACCAGCCCCGCGCTCCTGGAAGAAGAGGGAGTTTGGTTTTTGTTTTTTAAGAGAACTTATTTATTTATTTATTTACTTACTTACTTATTTACTTATTTATTTATTTTTCCTGGTAGCAGGGATCAAACTCAGGACCTTGTGCCTGCGAGGCAGGCGCCATGCCACCAGGCTAAATCCCCAGCCCCAGAAGAGAACTTTTTAAAAGAAATCATGAAGGATGAATTCAGTAAATTCAAGGATATTCTTGGGCCAGGATTTAGCTCAGTGGCACCGTGCCTGCCTAGCAAGTGCAAGGTCCTGAGTTCGATCCCCGGTACCAAAAAACAAAAACAAAAACACCTTGGAATTAAAAATCACTAATAATCAAGCTATCAAAAAGCCCCAAGCTAAAACAGTGACTCACACCTGTAAATCCAGCACTCTGAGGCTGAGTCAGGAAGATCACAAAGGTGAGTCCAACCTGAGCAACTTAGTTATTTTGTGTCTCTTTCTGTCTCTCAAAATAAATAAAAGATGGGCCGGGGCTCTAGCTCCATGTTCCATCCCCAGTGCCTGGAAAAAAACAACAACACAATCCAGAGAGTTAAGAAGTAAGCCACATATTCCTAAACAGTCTCTGAGTCATAGAACATTTTAAAGAAGAAATATGCCTATGTCTTACAATGACACAGGAGCACAGTACCCAAAAATGTGATGCAGTTAACACATTGCTTTCAGGGCATCTCTAGAGCTCTAAATGCTTATGCTAACTGGAATAGTTTGAGATCAACGACCTAACCTTCCGTCTGCAGAAGCTAGGATGGGATACGTAGTGAGTTTGAGGCCAGCCTGAGCTACATATGGAGACCCTGTCTCAAAAAGCAAAAACAAAACAAACAAGCTGGGTACGGTAGCCTGCACTGTAAAGAGACTCTGTCTCAAACAAACAAAAGGAAACTAGAAAATGGAAAAACCAGTTATACACGTTACACATCAGGTAACTAAATGAAGAAAAAAAAAAAGTTAGCCAGGTGTGATGGAGCACACCTGCAATCCCAGTACTTGGGAGGCTGAGGCAGGAGGATCGCCATGAATTCAAAGCCAGCCTGGGCTGCATAGTGAGACCCCGTCTCAAAATGAAAAATGAGAAAAACACTGGGGATGTAGGTTAGAGTAAAGACCCTGGGTTCAATCCCCAGTACCACACACACACACACACACACACACACACACACACACACTAATTTATTTTTTTAAATTTATTTTTGGGGGTACCGGGGATTGAACTCAGAACTTTGCCCTTGCAAGGCAGGCATGGTGCCACTGAGCTAAACCTCCAGCCCGAAAATAGTAATTTTAGTATATGTGCTGCTGAAGCGAGCACACCACAAATAATCATATTAATAAAATTCATTAACCCTTAACAAGACTAATAAAAAAGAAAAAACTAAATTTACCATTGTGAGGAATGAAGCAACACACATCAATCAGTACAGATCCTACAGATCCAAAGAATATCAAGGGAATAAAAGAACACAATTCAACAAATTACATGAAATAGGCAGATTTCTTTTAAAAATATACACATTAGGGCTGGGGATTTAGCTCAGTGGTTCTGCCACCTGCTTTGCAAGCACAAGGACCCGAATTCGATCCCCAGTACAAAAAATAAAAAAAAAAAATTTACACATGCTGGGGCTGGGCACTTACCCACACAACACCCGCCTTGGAAGTATAAGGTCCTGAGTTCAATCCCCAGTACTCCCCCCCACAAAAAAAGAAAAAAATATATATATATATATATTCACATGCTAATTGCAATAAATAAAACTTTTAAGACTCTGGGGTAATTTAGCCAGGAGAAGAGTTCAGAGGAATTTGGAAAGGTTTCCCAGAGGTGATATTTAACCTGTGACCTAAAGGAGAAGTAGGATTTAACTGGGTTGATGGAACTGTGTCTTGGGCAGGCAGAAGAGCATGTGCAAAGGACCTGAGGTTGGAATGCACTTCGTTCAGAGGGAACAATCCACTCGAGTGGTGCTTCTGTTGCCTGATGAGCACATGCTGCAGCCTTTTCAGTGCAAAGCCCCAGAGGGATCCGCTTGGCTTGAACAGAAACATTTATACAGGTTAAAGCAAAGCTAGTTGTAAGATAGAAGTGTGGAAGTTTCTGGGCTGTTTACTTGCAATTTACCCTGAAAAGTATATGATTTCTTCAAATATAGACCTGATGTTCCCTTTCTTCCCTGCCGCTGCCCATTGGGTGTACTCACAACCTATTAAGAATTTTTCTTGAAGTAAAATATTTATTGGTATATTTTAGGTATATGGAATAATAACACTTATCATAGGGAATTTGCGTCCATACATGATATATCTTTGTTGTTGTTGTTGTTGTTTTGTTTTTGGAGACAGAGTCTCACTATGTAGTTGAGACTGACCTGGAACTCACTATGTAGCCCAGGCCAGTCTCGAACTCACGGCGATCCTCCTGCCTCAGCCTCCCAGTGCTGGGATTACAGCGAGCATCGCCATGCCCAGCCCATACATGATATATCTTGCTTTTTCTTTTTTTCCACTCCCTTCCTTCCTT